TAGGATCCTGAAAACAGCCACATTTCCATAGAGTCACATAGGCCAGGCTTTAGGCCTCAAGCCCTAGAGATTTACATACTAATGAAGGCCAGAGGGCAGAGCAAATTAAACATTCCTCCCCCAGATCCTCCCCTAATCCTCCCCCTTTCTCCCTCCCTATATAACTCGGGACGGCCCTGAGTTTTTGGGGGTACGTCTAGATCCATCTATTATCCGTCATGTCAATAAACCTTTTGGAACCAAGGACTTCCTTGTGTTACTGGGGCCTGCCGCCGCCAAGGCCCTCAGGCCGCTGGAACCATAGGATCCTCTTCCCTGATGTGGGACCTGCCACGGAGGCGGAGGCGCAAGCTTGCGCCGCTGTGGCGGCCTTTTTTAAATTTTCCCCACAGGTTGCCTGCTATTAGACCCTCTGAGCCAGGTTGACGAAGTCAGTCTGCACTGAGTTTTCCTTCTCATCTCTTCCTGTGGCTTGCTTCTCTGACAACTGCAGGGAGTGCCTCACACATCTGCAACAGGTGGATCTTCACAAGAACACATTCCAGATTTGAGCTTTAGCAGAGTCTATGCAGCACCGAGCAGTGTGCAATATTTGCATACCAATGTTAATAGCGATAATGTCTCTTCATTCTTTGTAGAGGGGACAGACACCCTCTATTAAACTTAAACACCTCCACTCTGGCTGAATTAAGACAGGAATGAAGAAAGACTGGTCATTAAAATTTGGGCAGCTATTTCTCCTGAGAACATGAGTTTTGTTTCTGAAATATTTTAAAAATACCACCTGTGTTCATTTTTAGGTGTTTTGTTGATTTTAGTAGCCATTGTGCCTTTAATAGCTCATTTATATGAGCTGAGTTTCATTTGGCTGATGTTAGATTTCTCTCATGTCCAGATAAAGTGTGTGTGTGTGTGTGTGTGTGTGTGTGTATGTAAAGATACAGTTCATCAAAATGAATGCCAAACATATAGTTTAAGCCAGACATATAGTTTAAGTTTTCATGAAACAAAAAAAAATAAAAAAGAGAAAGTCGAAGGGAAATAAAAAGCACAAAGCGCCCACCAACCCCAGGTGGCCTCACGATTCCATAAGAGTTCAGCTCAACACGCATTCCTTGGCACTGAGTATTGAACCCTGGGATCTCCATAAGGAAGGGAAAGGTTCAATTGAACCCT